TTCCTCTTTTCTTTGGAGGCCAACCTGAAGGAGCCCCAAGTCATTCTAAAGGTCTTTTAAAGCCTGTGTGTGTGTGTGTGTGTGTGTGTGTGTGTGTGTGTGTGCTGCACTGAATGTCAGTGGGGAGACAGGGAGGGAGAGGGAAATGACCCCTCCAATCCACCCCCGCCTTCATTCAAAGGTCTTTTAAAGCCTCTGTGTGTATGTGTATGTCTTTGCTCCTGGTCTTCGCAGCAGCCCATGCCCGACATACACACACACACACACACACAAGCCACGCGCACAGAGGTACTGGTGAGATTTTTAGCGCAGGAAGCCAGGTTGCCTTCACAGGTACGAAAGCTTCCTTACAAATGGAAAAAGGCCAGGAGCAAGCAAGCTTCTTTTTGCACTTGCTCCTGACATTTTTCCACTTGGAGAGGAGGAAGAAGAAGACGACGACGGTGACAATCCCAGGTGCATGAAGCAAGGCGTGAAAATCTGCAACAGGAAGCTCGGGATGAGTGAAAAAGGGGAGCAGCTGAGCACTTTGTTTCTCTCCCTCCCCCCATCATCTCCCAGACTGGGTGGCCAAGGTAGAAAGGCTTGCAATCTTTGGGGCTAGGAGGCATTGGATCTGGCTTGGCGAGAGAGGCTTGTTTTAATAAATCTTCATTTATGTGTTCTGACTATTTTTGTGATCTGTAGCAGTCCACCAGACCGTTTCTCTTATCCCAATATTTTCAACACTCATTACTATCAGAGGTTTTTCTTCTTCTTCATGCCTTCAAGTCAGTGTTGAACTACCTGGCCAAATCCCTGCAGTTTTCATGGCAAGATTTCAGAAGTGGTTTTGTATTGCCTTCTTCCTAGTGCTGAGAGAGGATGATTAGCCTAAAGTCACTCTGCTAGCCTCATGCCTAAAGCAAGACTAGAATTCAAAGTCTTCTGGTTTCTAGCCTGATGCCTTAACCCAGGGATCAGCAACCCAAGCTTCCTGAGCCTCCTGTGGCTCCTTTATCTGCTGAGGCTCCCTACTTTTATCTCTCTGCTGCGGAGAGAAGCGGCCCAGGTTGATTCTCCGGTACCTCATCTCTTGCTGGGTCTCGCGGGCAATGGAAAGGGGGATGGGCCTGCAGTGCCCAGCCGCAGCTTTAAACCTCACAAGGGGGACTTTTGCCGCCCAGTGGACTCTTTTCAATCAATGCCACTGGAGGTCACCAAAAATGCTTGCCTGTCAGGCAGTCAAGCTGCCCACTCCGTGCGCCTTTGCTGTGTTTGACTCAGCCTGGCCACTTGCTTGAGGGTCTTCCCACTTGTGCATGCCCTCCCGACCCTGCCACAGCCAGCCAGGGGGTCGCGTGAGGAAGAAGAGGAGGAGGAGGAGGAGGAGGAGGAGGGTCGTCTTTGGGGAAGCTGCCAGCCCAGCTCATGCTTACTCCTCAGCCAGCTCTTGTGCAGCACAGTGAAAGAGAGAGACACAGAGACAGAGAGAGAAATAAAAAGAAATAAAAAGAGAGACAGAAAGAGAGACAGAAACAGACCAACAGAGAGAGAGAGAGAGAGAGAGAGAGAGAGAGAGAGAGAGAGAGAGAGAGAGAGAGAGAGAGAGAGAGAGAGAGAAGGTGAACAACACACCAGAGGCCAGCTGTAGCAAGAGGTGGCTGGGAGGGGTGAGGTGGGGCCAGGCGGGGCAAATAATTTAACACCCGGGTTTTCTGCCCTAATGACCAGCTGGGTAGGCATGGCTGGGGTGTGTGTCATGTGACTGGTTGGGAGTGAGTGATGTTGAGTTGGCCATGCCCATCCAGTTACACTGGTTGTTAAATTATTGACTCCTAGTATTTTCTTTTCTGTGGGAAACGGGTCCAAATGGCTCTGAGTGTTTAAGGTTGCAGACCCCTGCCTTAACCACTACACCAATCTGGATCTTCATCCTAAATTTAATAGAACCTAAATTTAATACAATTTAATAGAACACAGGGGAGGGACGGGGGGGTAGCGGTTATCATTAAAGAAAGTCTTTAGGGAGGCCACTGTTTCTCAGACGGCCGGCTGTGAATCCCTCCTTGTGAAATGGGGTCATGGGGTTCAGATGGGTTTGCTGATCACGTACCTGGCTCCCTGCCACGTGGCAACAGCCCTGCCCGAGCTACTCAACGTCATCGCCGCGGTGGCAGTTGACACCCCCAGGCTTATGGTCATGGGGGATTTCAACCTGCCGTCCGTGGGTGAGACATCTGAGGTGGCTCGGGAGTTCATGGCTTCCATGACAGCTATGGACCTGACCCAGTTAATTCATGGCCTTACCCACATGGGGGGAAACACGCTGGATCTGGTTTTTGTCTCTGGACAGTGGTTGAGTGATCTTGAGATAGGGGATATAGTTACTGAGCCCTTGTCATGGTCAGATCACTCTCTCCTTCGTCTCGACCTTCGAACCGCTGCACCCCGCCGCAGGGAGGCAGAGCTGGTAAGATGGCTCCGCCCCAGGCGCCTGATGAAACCTGATAGGTTCCAGATGGAGCTTGGGCCATTTCCTGAGGCTCTGGCACACGCCTCGACTGGAGACCTAGTGGCCGCCTGGGATAGGGTGGCCGCTGGTGTTCTGGATCGGGTTGTGCCTTTGCGGCCTCTGACCCGGCGCCAATCTCAATTGGCTCCTTGGTTCTCCGAGGAGCTGAGGGAGTTGAAGCGCCAGAAAAGACGCCTAGAGAGTAGCTGGAGAGCCAGTCTTTCTGAATCTGACTGGACACTAGTAAGATCCCATATTAGGAATTACCTAGTGGCGATAAAAGCAGCGAAATGTAGTTATTTTGCTGCTCTTATTGCATCATCAGATAACCACCCGGCTGCCCTCTTTAGGGTGACCCGCTCCCTGCTCCACCAGGAAGTGTGGGAGGGTAGAGCTGAGGATTTTGCTCAGTATCTGTATGACAAAATCACTCAGATTTGGGACGATCTGGACTCCAACTGGGTAGTCTCAGGGGGAGGGACTGGGGCAGGTCTTGAGAATGTTATCTGGGATGAGTTTGATCCTGTGATCCCTGAGGACGTGGACAGGATTCTGGGCAGGCTGAAAGTGACCACTTGTTTATTGGACCCGTGTCCTTCCTGGTTAGTGCTGGCTTCCCGGGAAGTGACACGAGGCTGGCTCCAGGGGATTATAAATGCTTCGTTGGGTGAGAGTGACTTTCCCGCCGCCTTCAAAGAGGCGGTGGTGAGGCCTCTCCTCAAGAAGCCTTCCCTGGACCCGGCAATGTTGGTAAACTATCATCCGGTCTCCAACCTTCGCTCTGTGGCGAAGGTTGTTGAGAGTGTGGTTGCGCAACAGCTCCCCCAGCACCTGGATGAAACGACGTATCTGGATCTGTTCCAGTCGGGCTTCAGGCCTGGGTACAGCACAGAAATGGCATTGGTCGTGTTGGTAGATGATCTCTGGAGGGCTAGGGACAGGGAGTGCTCCTCTGTCCTGGTCCTGTTAGATCTCTCAGCGGCTTTTGATACCATCGACCATGGTATCATGCTGCACTGGTCGGAAGAGTTAGGGGTGGGAGGCACTGTGTTGCAGTGATTCTCCTCCTTTCTCTCTGACCGGTCGCAGTCTGTGTTGACAGGGGGGGCAGAGGTCGACCCTGAGGCCCCTCATATGTGGGGTGCCTCAAGGGTCGGTCCTCTCGCCCCTCCTGTTCAACATTTATGTGAAGCCGCTGGGCGAGGTCATCCGTGGTTTTGGGGTGAAGTACCACCAGTACGCTGATGACACTCAGCTGTACATCTCCACCCCAGACTATCCCAACGATGCCCTTGAAGTGATGTCCCGGTGCCTGGAGGCCGTGCGGATCTGAATGGGGAGGAATAGGCTCAGGCTCAACCCATCCAAGACTGAGTGGCTGTGGTTTCCGATGTCCCGATATAGTCAGTTGGTGCCATCACTGACTATTGGGGGCGAATCACTGGCCCCCACGGAGAGGGCTCGCAACTTGGGTGTCATCCTGGATTCACGGCTGCCTTTAGAAGAGCACTTGACGGCCGTGACCGGGAGGATTTTTCATCAGGTCCACCTGATTTGCCAGTTGTGTCCCTTTCTGGATCGGGACTCCTTACGCATGGTCACTCGTGCCCTCGTCACCTCCCGCCTGGACTATTGTAACACTCTCTACATGGGGCTCCCCTTGAGGAGCACCCGGAGGCTCCAACTGGTGCAGAGTGCGGCTGCACAGGTGGTAATGGGAGCGACATGGCGCTCCCATGTGACCTCCCTACTGCGCGAGCTGCACTGGCTCCCGGTAGTCTTCCGGGTGCGCTTCAAGGTTTTGGTTACCACCTTTAAAGCGCTCCATGGCTCAGGACCTGGGTACTTGCGGGACCGCTTACTACCACCAATAGCCTCCCACCGGCCAGTATGCTCTCACAGAGAGGGGCTCCTCTGGGTGCCGTCAGCCAAACAATGTCGACTGGCGGCCCCCAGGGGGAGAGCCTTCTCTGTGGGGGCACCTATTATCTGGAACGAGCTCCCCCTGGAAATACGGAGGATCACAGATCTGCGCACCTTCCGCCGCGCTCTAAAGACCTTTTTATTTCACCAGGCGGGCCTGGCCTAACTTTCTCCCTCTTTTTAAACAATTTTAATATTTTAATATTTTTAATATTTTTAATACTCAAAATTTAAATTTGTTTTAAATTGATTGGGGTTTTAATCTGTCTGGGCCAAACTATTTAATTCAATTTTATTTCTGCTTTTTAAATTTTGCATGTATATATTTTATTGTTGGCTGTTCACCACCCTGAGTCCTTCGGGAGTAGGGCGAAAACAAATCAAAGTAAAAGTAAAGTAAAGTAAAAGAACCCAATACAACGGAGTTCATCCCTAATATACAACCCTATACCACCTCGTCTTGTGGCTAAGGGTGGCAATTAATAAACAGAGGCTGTGGCAGCATTGGCTACAGAATGGGATGGAGAACATGACACATGGTTGTAGTGCTACTTCTGAAAATATGATTTAAGTTTATATTAGTTTTAACTGTTTTCATCTCTAAAAAAAAGAAGCCGGGCCTTCAGTTTTCTAGCTCTGCTTAAAGTGAACTTTTTAAAGATACAAAAAGGAGAAATGGGAGATAGAATTGTACATGGTGGTAAAGTTGTAGCTTGCTCATTCTTGCTTTGCTACCGTAGGAGGAGTTTTACCTCTGTAGGGCCTCTGTAAAAACGAACATGTGTCGAGATGCGGCTTTCCCGTCTGAGATAGGAATCTGGTTGTCAGGATCACAGCTCCTACAACTTCGAAATTACCGGGATTGAACTCCAGCTCGGCGCTGAAGCATTCGGCTCAAGCAGAAAAAGTTTGCTGCCTGTTCTTGCCTTTAACGACCGGTTGACACAGTACAGAGAGAGGATTGTTTCCGCTCCCCACAACGCCCCTCCCCTCTCAAATCTATATTGCCAGCGAGTGCTGACATATCTCGCTGTCTCAACCACGTTGCAAACTCCTCCTCCGGTAACCTACGGGTATTGGAAGAAGAGGAATTGTGGAAAGAAAAGGAAGAGGCGGCGGCGCCAGAAGCGCCTCAGCGGCCCACAGTTCTAAGCTTGAATAGGGCGCGAAGAAAGTAAAGCAAATCCGACCGCGGGGCGGAGGGAACATCCAGCCGCCACGCCACGGATTTTTTGAGCGAAGCCTGACCTTCCGGTACTCCTCAAAGTACCACGACGTCAAGAAAGCAAAGCAAACGATTCATTTCCCACGAGCCGCAGGTAGGACCAGCACTGGATTAAGTAAATCTGTGACAAGTAAGTAAGTAAGTAAGTAAGTAAGTAAGTAACTCTGTGACTAAGCTCATGCTTGCAATGGAGTCAGTGAGAACAAGCCGGCCTTGTTCTTTCAGAGGAAACGTCCATAAGACCGGGCCCGATGAGCATTTGGCTTCGTTTTTTCGTACACAGCGGAATGTCCCCTGGTTAGCCCGCGTGGACAGAGGGTTCTTTTCAGCCCCGCAGCGCGAGAACTGCAAAGATTGAGGGCTACAGAAATCTCCACATTTACCTCTAAATGGCAGCAAACAGATATAGAAAACTCCAATTCTGTAGTGCCAACCAGTGATCATCCGAATGTTTGTATTCTAGATTGGGTACGACTACCAAACATTATACTAGGGCTGCTTGTCATGGGCCAAGGCTTCTCTCTCTTCCTTTGGAGGGTCATTTTAAGCAGTGATTGGATCCAGTCTTGAGGAAGTTAAAAAGGAAATCTGGAGAGGATTTGAAGAAAAAAAGATAAATTTCAAGTATAAGGTGGGCAGTGAAAGGCAAGGGTGTGAATAGCAAAGATTTCCTCCAGCTGGGGAAAAGATCTGAGCGGGCTTCCTTTAGCTTCTGACTAAATTGTTATTTTTCAGAAGGTTGTCTTTCTTCCCCCAGAGTTTGGGGCTTTTCCAGTATACTCCGCCACAATATAAATGGTTTCTTTCAGCCTATAAATGTTCTAGCTGCCCCAAACAAAATTCACTGAGATAACATTGCTTGAAGGTTAATATTAAACTAGGCTGTAATTCCTTTTTCTGATGACAAAGAGTGCATGTTGGCTTGGATTTATTGCTAAATTAATCTTATATCTTTTAATTTTAATAGTTTCGCTGAAATAATACTAGGCAGAATTGAAGAAATATTTATGGCAGCCATAGAATGCTTCACAAACTGAAATTTAAAGAACTTGGACCTTAAATTTCTTCAGGAGTAACCAGGACTTAAAAGGCTCCAGCGGATAATCTAAGAAATATACTGCTGTTTTGAAAAATACCCTGAAGTGTGAAGTTTTCCCTCTCTTTTTCTCATAAGAAATAGCAAAGAATTTTAGTAACCATGGAGTTTGTTGTTGAGTTTAACATAACAGGTTAATTTTAATATTGAAAATATTGACTCATTTGTTTTTCTACTATTGTTTGAATGCACAAACATTTAAAAATGGATAAATATGATGACCTTGGTTTAGAGGCAAGTAAATTTATAGAAGACCTCAATATGTATGAAGCTTCCAAAGATGGTCTCTTTCGAGTAGACAAAGCTGTTGGGAATAACCCAGAATTTGAAGAAACCAGAAAAGTTTTTGCTACAAAAATGGCTAAAATTCACCTGCAGAAACAACAAGAACAAGAGGAATTGATGAAAGGAGCCTCAGTGGATTTGAATGGTGGATTTAATTTTGGTGGTCAGCTTCCAAGTTATTCTGTAGTCAAAGACACCACAGGAACAAATAAACTGCATCCACGAGAAAATGTTGCTAAGCCCCCTTTGGCTGCATCATCAACAGTATGTGCAGGTCATCAGCTCGCTTTTCCAAGCCAGCCTCTACGTCACAGTGATGGAGAGCAAACAAAAATATATCAAGATGACTATGGATATAGCAACAGTTTACAGGGTCCAGATATTCCTGGAGGACCAAATTGCCACAGATCAGGTCAGATGAACCCAGGTGGTTCTAAGGCAGTGCTTCCTTCCCTATCATGGAATGAACACAGCAATGGTGATAATCAAACAGGTGTTCAAAGAAGGAAGAAAAGTGCTGGTAAGCTTAGCAGCCAAAAATCAAATATCGGCTCTCATTTTTGGTCAAACAGCCAAGATGAATCATTGCAGAGAAGCCCTAAAAAACTTCATGCAGATCTTCATCTATGCCAACAATCCCAAAGCCCTTACAGATCTTCAGAAAGTGGGCATGGAAGTCGGGAAAGTGAAAATGAAGGTCCTGGACTAAGTAAGAGCTGTATCCAAAACCTAGCTTGCCAGAGACCATCTTTTTCTCATGACAGTATCCTCTTGTCTTCTTCAGTTGGGGTTGGTGATGAATCAGCCATGAGATATTCACAGCAGAAATCTTCATCGTATTCTGTTTCATCAATACATTCTTCTCAGATTCTTTCAAACCTGTCTGTTAATTTTCATCCAAATAGAAGCAGTGGTGACAACCACTCAAGGTGCAGTGATAGCACTCAACCTTCAATTTCTACCCCAGTTCCTTCAAGTGCAGATTATCAGCAGCGCAATATTCATCCATACACTGCAGATCATTTTGTAGTTCATGGTCAAAATTACAGGCTTAATTTTGCTGGTTCTGGTCTGAGTCTTGAGCAGAATTCTATCACTGCAACATCTCATGGACCAATGATTTCTGATGTTCCCAAATCTCCTTTTAAAGAGAGTGTCACTGTTCAGCAGCATGACTGTGGTCCTCAAGAAATGTCTGGTTCTGCAAAAATAAAATTACCCTGTCAGATGCTCCTTTCACAGCAAGACCAAGGGCTCTCTACTGCTGAATTAAAATTAGAAGCTCTTACTCAGCGCCTGGAGCAGGAGATGGATGCATGTCCCAAGGCTGATTACTTTGGTAAGTATTTTTGTTATAGCATAATGTACATCTTTTTAAATAGTGTGTTTAATAATAAATGTTACAATACTTGTACCTATGGACATATTTTTTCATGTATTTTTCTTTATCATTGATCATTGGTTTAACTAATACTTTTAAAATTATACATTCTGAAAGCTATTATTTTAATGTAATAACTTAAGTAGATAGTGATAAATTAGAGGAAAAAATGAATTAAAACCCTTTTTAAAAAAGCAAGATACCAACTTTATGCAGCCCTGGTTTTTCTTTAAAATCATTTTTATGGAGCAATAAACTAAAAGTTAATAATTGACTGTTTATATCCAAAATGTTTGAGAATTTGGTGGGTAGAATAAATAATAATATTGGCAAAAGTCTTAAGTTATTTTGAAGTGAATGGGAAAAAGATGAGAGTTACACTTGACTATATGGCTGTGCAAAGCATTTGAAAGAGTTGTTTTATCAAACACTTGTGCAAAGCAAAGTACTTTTACTCAGGGCATTACATCCTTTAAAGATTCGTGTAGCTGCTTTGAAGACTTCTTCTACTTGTTTTCATGTACCTCTCTACATATTTAGATAGCACTTCCTGCTATGACAGCAAAGGAATGTAATAGACAGCAATGGACTCCTTTCAGAGGAGCCAGGCCAATTTTCCAACGGATGCTGAAGCCTTAATGCTTCAAGGAGAAATTATTTGCTCATAGTAATGTATTTTGCAAAGTACCTGTTTCAAATTCTTTGCAACACTCAAGTGCAACTCTCATCTTTTTTCCATTCACTTCAAAATAACTTAAGACTGTGGCCAATATTATTATTTATACTACCTACCAAATTCTCAAACGTTTTGGATATAAACACTCAATTATTAACTTTTAATTAATTAACTTGATAGTATTCTATTCTGATTTTAGAGCTGTAAAATGGGGCAAAACTAACTTAATAACTTTGCTTAGCAATGGAAATTTTGGGCTCAATTGTGGTCAGGAAGGGAGAACTATGGGTACAGTGACTAAAACCAATACCAAACAAAACCATTATAAAGCAGTATGTGCACGCCAATCAACATGTAATTCTCAACTTGTACCACTAACTGTACAGAATGTGCCCTCAATTGACTTATTGTGTAAATGATAGTGCAATAAATCAATTGAGGGCACATTCTGTACAGTTAGTGGTACAACTTGAGAATTACATGTTGATTGGCGTGCACATACTGCTTTATAATGGTTTTGTTTGGTATTGGTTTTAGTCACTGTACCCATAGTTCTCCCTTCCTGACCACAATTGAGCCCAAAATTTCCATTGCTAAGCAAAGTTATTAAGTTAGTTTTGCCCCATTTTACAGCCTATCTTGCTACAGTTGTTAAGTGAATCACTACACTGGATTAAGTTAGCAACACAGTTGTTAAGTGAATCTGGATTCCCCATTGACTTCATCAGAAGATCGCAAAAGGTGATTCCATGACCTCAGGACACTGCAACCATAATAATTACATGCCTGTTGTGAAGTGACTGAATTTTGATCACATGACCATGGGGATGGATGTTGCAACAATTTTAAGTTAAAAACGGTCATAAGTCACTTTTTTCAGAGCTGTTGTAACTTTTAATGGTCACTAAATAAATTCTTGTAAGTCAAAGACTTGTGTACTTTATTTTAACTGTTATTAGTAAATAAACGCTGATATAGTGCAATATGTGTAGCATGCTATATGTAAGGCAATCAATTATATATATTGCATGAATCTTTCCCTGCTGTTCCACAACCTTTGATAGTTTTCATGACATGTACTAATCCGTATTTAATAGAATTTTGGAAGTATGTGAATATTAAATACAATTTCTTGGTTTTAACATTAGTTTACATTTAGCAATAGCAATAGCACTTAGACTTATATACCACTTTACAGTGCTTTATAGCCCTGTCTAAGCGGTTTACAGAGTCAGCATATTGCCCCCAACAATTTGACTTCTCATTTTACCAACCTCAGAAGGATGGAAGGCTGAGTCAACTTTGAGCCTGGTGAGATTTGAACTGCCAAACTGCAATCAGGTGGCAGTCAGCAGAAGTAGCCTGTAGTACTGCATTCTAACCACTGCGCAACCGAGGCTCATTTTTTTGCATTAATTGATATGCTTGATTGTTGTTTTTCACCTAGAAATGAAGAATATTTAAAACATTTAAAAGAATTCAATATCTCTGTAGTTTTTCCAGTACGTTTGTAAAGTTTCAGTTATGGATTTGGGAGGGTTGGCATGTATCCTATACTTATATTGTAGGTTGATTATTATTTTTGACAGTCCTATATTTCAGTAACAGTTTCTTTTTTAAAGAAAAAATACCTTGCTTCTAGGAAATACTGAAATATATTTATATTAAGAGACTCATATTTTATAAAGCAGTTGAAACAAAAATTTAAGAATTTATACAAATAAATACTCTGCAAATTTAGGAATTATTTTGGACCCGTTTATAAATCCATTATTTGTGGTCAAATGGATAGGATAGGATAGGATAGGATAGGATAGGATAGGATAGGATTCTCACAACAGAAATAAAATCATTTTTATCCCTTGGAAAAGAAGAAATGAAAGTTGGAACATAAGTGAAGCACATAAAATCTTATGGATTTCAAGTTCCTTTTTCTCAAAATAGAGTTAAGATAAATGTAATCAAATTCACGTAATTTAATCAAGTGGATACTGATGCTCTAAAAATGGTTTTACAATTTTTGAGTTTGTGAAAAATTAACAGAATTTTGCTTTTAACTGTAGATGGCTTTTAATTTTTCCACTTTTACCTCAAATTTAATAACCATTAATATTTCATGTTAATTATTGATAGTAAATAAGTTTTCCATCTTACTCATTTTTTATTTTTATCAAAGATTGATGTAATTGGGTATAAAATATTTCCAATGTCCTCAAAAGAAGAAGAAAGATTACATTGTTTAAACAATGAAATTATTATCTAGCTAAATTGTTAGATTGTAAGGTTTGTGAGTATTGTGTTAGGATAAATGGGTAGGATGAGTACAGGATAGAGAAGTGGGTGGGACTGTAGTTTTATCTGAATTGTGTATGGAAATGGCTAATTGTAATGGAAGTTTGAAAGTATTGGTGACCTTTTGGCAAGTTAAGCTTTCCATTGCATATCTCTGGATGGACCAGTTTGGAATACTTTCTAGGTCACTTGCTTAGTTTAGGAAATGTTTAAAAGGAATTTGGATTGAATTGCTTTTGAGAGTTTGCTTTTCTAAATGATAACATTACATGTCATATATAAATACACTCTTTATTCACCATGCACTAAATAGTCTCCATTGCAACCAGTACTTTAAATACTTTTAGGATCATAAATAATTTTGAGTTACTTCAGAGCTTCAGATTCATTAGTGTCAGCTTGTGAGCTCCTTAGAATTATGATTTTTCTAATCATATTTTTTTATGATTTGTGACATAGCAGCCAAGTCAGATAAAACTGACAACAGATATGCTCAAGAGCTTCCCTTTTTAGACATCAGGATGCAAGTCATGCCCTGATTTCCATAGGATGTTAAATGGAGCAGGGCCAGCCTTGAAAATAGCAACAAAGATACAACTATTGTTTGTTTTACTTTACTCTTGAAATCTAGTTGCCTATAGCAGGGATTTGAGGAAGCTAAATGTATTCCTTCCAGTCCCAAGCAGCTTGTAGCTGAGCTAGCAATGCTGCTTGCATGGATTACTACTATATGTGTGACTTTCAATCACAATTAATTACAAAATCCTTGAACAGGAAATACCATGTTTCCCCCAAAATATACTGCAATATATTTGGATACACATACAAACTTTAAATAGTAAATGAACTTTTAGATTTTAAAAGGTTTGTGCATCCTACAGCCCTCTCTGCAAATACATTGCTAATGAATTTCCTTGGATCTTGGTAATAAGGAAAAGTTTCTCTTACTGTTTCTTTTTTCCTCAAGATAGTAGGACCTTAAGATATTTAAAGTTCAAGCTTTTTAAAAAAATAAAAATCACATTGCAATTATCAGTTGATAGAGGAAGAATCAAATGTATGTTACAGGTGACAGTAAATGAATGTATTATGGATTATTCAATATGCCATTTCAATATTGCTGCCTGCAGGATATTGCTGCTTTTATCAGAATGACAGAATGACATTTTGATGGCAAAATAAGTGGAGTATACATTTAATAAATATATAATATCATACTGCAAGTTCGTACCCCTTTGGCATTTTTGTGCATCATTGCAGTTCATCTAGAAAATGGGCAAGGTTTACATTGCAATGCAGTAATGTTTAAGACATTAAGTAAACAAGGAGCAAAACTGTTCAGCTAGTAATCTTTGATTTATAATCATTCATTTAGGAACCATACAAAGTTAGAATGGCATTGAAAAAAAGTAACTTAAAAACCAGCACTTGCGCTTGAAACTGTTGCAGCATCCCTATGGTGACATGATCAAAATTTGGGTCTTGGCACCTAGCATGTATTTATACTAGTTACATCATCATAGGATTATGTGATCACCATTTGCAACTTTTCCCAATGACTTCTGCCTAATTACCACATGATTCACTTAGTAACTGTGGCAAAAAAAAGTTGTAATTTGGGCATGACTCAATTAACAACTATATTGCTAGTCGTTAATTGAGTCATGCCCAATTTACAACTTTTTTTTGCCACAGTTACTATATTGCTTAGCAATATAATCCCAGCTGGGGTTGTACTTGTATAGAGCTTTTAATTTTTAAAAAATAATTTCAGTTCAGCTTTGATCAGCATCTGTCACACATTTTGCTAGAACACTCACTCAAACACTAGTTTATTTTTGGGGGAATGAATGGCAGCTTCTCTTCCCATTTGAGTACAGGATAAATCCATACAGAAAGTTGTTTAAAAAAATGATAGAGTGCTATTGGTGACATAAAAGGAATAAAAACTCAGTTATATCAAGAATAAAGATCTTGAAAAGATGAAGCT